GGAGCTGAGGTGAGCGGGTGGCGCGGGGGGGCGGCGTGAGGGGAGCTGGGGTGGGAACGGGGGTAAAGTGGCCAAGTCGTTACGCAATTAGGGCGGAATTAGCGAAACTTGGGGTTCTGCTCGTTAAGAGGCAGTTTCGCTAATTGGCGGCGTTACCTCCTCGTAAGAAGTAAAGAAATGCTGATCTGATTTGAGAGCGTCGGGCTTGGAGTCGCTTCAGGGAGGCTTTGTTTGGGTCCTTGGGACTTTGCAGAGACCTGCTTAGGTTTAATGAGGGCGTTAATGCGATTAATGTGGCTGGGGTCTCAAATTTGTCGCTTCTGTGAGGAGAAAGGAGCTTGAATAACTCTTTGGCTTGTGCTTTTACGTTGTGTCTTCGTGTTGCACCTCCTGAGGTGGTAAGTTCCATCTCCTGAGGTGATGAGCTGCGTCTCGCACTGTGGGCTCGGTTCTACAGAGAAACCTACTTAAAGGATAGTGTCTGTATAGGAAAGTAAAAGAACTCCAAACAATGAACACTGCCATCTGCTCAGAGATACTGACATTCACCTTAATGCAGTGTTACAAACACTGAGCCCCTAAAAGATTCTTAACTATTGAATCACTTCAGGAATCAGTACTGACACCGAACAGTGCTTTGCTTGTATTTAGGAATGTGTTGGCAGAGAATGTACCCGAGGCTGGGCTTTGATGCTGGGAAAGCTTCTGGAGGAGCTTGAGCGTTACCTTCTGCCTCTGGTAAAGGCTGTTTTTGTGGAGTCAGATGAAACCTGGTGTCACTCGTGTCCCCTCCTTACCACAGGCACTACTACTGTGGCCTTTGGGACTGCATAATGCTGCAGGTTATTTGCTTTGCAGGTGCATGGACATTCCTCACGGTTAAGTCTTTCCTGCAGACATCAAAACCTGCAGTGAAACTGAATGATTAGGCACGTTCTTGATGTTTTTACCAGTGGTTTTTTCCCCTTTGGTGTAAATTCTAGTGCTGCAGTTTTCCCCCTGCTCCAACCAGTGTGGACACTGACTGCTTTGAGGAGCGTAATTTCTGTCAGTAAGATCTGATGGCCTCAATATTGTTTCAGTTTTGTTTAATCAGGTAATTGTCTTTACAAAAATAGTAAGTGCAGAGTGTTCCCAAGTGATGCAGCTCTGGCAGAATCAAATTTGCAGCATACATTTTCCTTTCTTTTTTCCCCTAGAAATTTGTTCTAGGAGAGCTTTTGCTTGACTTCAGTGTAGTCTTAGGAACAGAATCTGTTGGTGAGAGGAATGATGGATCATTTTAGCCTGGTTGCAAGGTCACTTTCCAGCTCTTCCCACACTGTGTCACCTTGAGCAGGCAGTTGATTGTGGGATAAAAACATGTCCCTAACAGTGGATGTATCGATGGGATTCACTATTTAACTATCAGTTAATAGTTAACTGATAATACAGGACCCTAAGATGGATGGAAAACTAACAGCTTACTGTCTTTTAAGTCTGTCTGATTCGTAACAAGACTGACTGTAAACTGAATCCCCTTTTTAGAAGCTCTGATGTTGAAATTACCATCTTACAAAGAGACAGTAGGTCAGAGAACACGTTTGTTTCTGACTGTGCTCGAGGGGAGCAGCAGCTCTGCTTGGTGTTGGTCAGAACTGTGTGTTTGCATGTTTGGGAGCCAGAGATTATATTTCTGGTAGCACAGATGGAGGCACATGATTGATTCGAATCAGCAATAAATTCTTTTAAATCTTGAGCTTACAGAATTAACCACTTTAAATCTATTAGGGAGAAACAATTCCCTGTGTGAGGTAGGATGTGATTACAGCTTTTGTAACAACCCAGTGAGCGTGCTGGTAAAATGCTCCAGCCTTTTCCAGCCTGGCTGCATCTACATTTGTCCTGTTGCTTTAGCAGCATCTCACAGGAGTGCAAACTTGATCTGGAAGACCCTTGGCCATCTGCTTCTTTTATAGTTAGGATTTTAATGAGCTGCTCCTTCAGAGTGTAGTTGCTTTCTGGAGCACATGACATCCCTCAGCAGTGAAGATGCATGTCAAGACTCAGCAGCTCTCTCCCTATCCGATTTGGAGAGCCTGCACCAGGTCCGCAGCCGGTCGGCCAGTTTCAGCAGCACAGGGTCCAGCGGCCGCCTGCAGCTCCGACAGCGAGTAGCCCAGCTGATGGCTTGTGTAGAGGACATCAGCTCAGATGATGAAATTAATGAAGAAGTGTCTCGCACCCTGGATGAAGCTTTCCTTATCTGGGGGAAAAAGCTGAAGGACAAATGGCAGGAATTCAGGTTTTGTTCCCTCTAGTTGAGTTGGTTTGGGGTGGTGTTTTGGGGTCTTTTTTTAATGCTAGCTAATAAATAGATTTCTAACTGATCAAAAGGTACAGAAAGCTTTTGCTTTCTGTAGATAGAAATTCTGTGGAGAAATTAGATGCTCTTAGTGTTGGTTACCTGTTCACGTTTCAGCTTTAGCATTGGTTTTGTGTGACTTTTCTTTGTAGACTACACTTAGTTACTTGGAATGTGGGCACAGCTGCTCCACCTCCTGATGTCAGTAGTTTACTTCAGCTCGATTCACTGGGCCCAACTATGGATATGTATGTTATAGGGTAAGTGTACATTTATATGTATATTATAGAACTTGCTTCGTAAGCTTATTGCAAAACTGCTCAATCTCAACCGCTCTGTGTCTGCTTTGGGAGGACTGTGCAATGTGAATCACTGCCTAGGAGATGATTTAACATTCTTGCTAACAGAAGGTGAAGACTAGAGCTAGTGCCTTAGAGCAGAAACGATTTATAGCAAGAGAAGCTTTCCCTTTCTGTTGTTGTTTGACAAAATATGGAATATCTTTATTTCTAAACACAAAAAAAGTCTTCAGCTGCTGTTCTCTTTGTTGGCACGTGGAGGAATATTCATTTTGATATGAAAGTTATCCAAATGTAAAATTAAACAAATTAGTTCATGCTTATTAGGCACAATTTGCCATCATGCTTTACAAACTGTCTTGAGATTTTGAGACCCAGTAGTCAGGTTATTTATGATAACAGCTTTTGAGTCTAGCATCGCCTTAAACTCTTTTTCAGCTGTATCTAAGCTGCTTTAACTTGGCTTTTCTCAGTGTTAGATGTGTTAGATTGTGGATGGGTTGAACTGCTTGTCAGTGAGAAACTGAACAGCAAGACATTTCTGAGTTATGCTGAGAGAGCCCTGTTAGGATCCTGTGGTCTATGTTCTGAAAAGGCTTTATGAACGCTGTCAAAACCAAGTGATACAGTGTGAGTAATCTTGATGCCTTCAGCTTACAGGAGGTAAACTCAAAAATCACCAATTTTCTGTCTGACTTGGCGTTTGATGATCCATGGAGCATTTTCTTCATGACTGTATTGTCTCCCTTGGGATATATCAAGGTAATTGTTGCCATCTTGTAAGTGTCACAGCAGTGAAGGAAAATGTCTTCCCCAGCTCCATACAGATGTGTTTTCCTGTCAAACTCTCCATAAAAGATTAAGCTGATGGGGTTTTTTGCTGGTGTCAGTCACTTCCATAGTACACATATGTTAGAAGTGATTCTTCATGACGCTTGTTGTGGTTTGTTGATAAAGGCAGTTTAATTTTTCTTTATTGATACTAATGACCTTCATTTTAGCAGTAACAATTTGACATGGTTTTGTTTAGTTCTCATTTGGAATAGTTGGGCAATTTTGGGACTTTTGCACCTCAGCTGTCAAGCAGCAGGATGTTGCTCAAATACACCAGCAACAGCCTGTGGAAGTGCTGCAGAACCTGTGATGAGTAGAAGAATATCCCTGTTGTAATATAAATATATTTTCAAGGAACAGAGTAATGAAGATGGTTGAAATGTGATGTAAACTTAATACTCAACAGGAGATTTCTTGTGGCCACAATATCTCTGTCTCTCTCTTGTTTGTAGAGAATTTATTTGCAATATTGGGGAACTGTATTGTGATGCTTCTAATGTTGTCTGCTTAAGTACCTGCTTTCACTGTGAATATCCTAAGCAATGGCACTGATTTTCAGTAAGATTGGTAAGGTTTCTTCTTTTTTCCCCTCCAAACTTGTTTGCAGGTGAAAATAAATTGCATACATGTAAACCAGAATTTTAGTGGATATACATATATCTTTTTTGAGGACTTTATTTCTGATTGAAGACTTTGAACATTGGTAGTTTAAATGACAAGATTTTTGGTACTATCTGGGGCATAAGATCAGTTAAAATAGTGGCTATTTTAATAATGCAAATAATAACATAGGAGGATATGCTGATTTCTCTAATAAAGAGATACTAAAACCTTTTGAATGTTATATTGGTTTTCTAAAGCTGTATTTCAGGGTGATTTTGCTGAGATGACTGAATTATCTGCATGCCAGTCAGACTCAGCAGTTGTGCCATTCTTTTAACTGTAATTAAACAAAACAAAGGACCCATTGGGATTTATGAAAAGGAAAAGAAAACATTGTTCATTCTGGTGTAAGGCATTGCTGATAAACAGTCAAAATCTGGCTGAGGGCTGACATTCAGGCCCTGTGTACAGGCAGCTAAAGAGAATTCCTAGTGGAATGCATGGTTGATTTTGAATTCCGATTTAGAAATGTGGCCCTTTGGACACAGTGATGAAAGGATGCTGCCACCTAATGGTTTTTCAGCAAGAC